AGAAACCCCCTTAGGGGATCTATTTTTTAGATCCTTGTGGGGGTCTGTGTTAGGACCCTTGTGCACATTACACTAAAACTGCGAGCGAGGGTTTCGAGTGGAGGTCTCCTTGTCACGGTCCAGGTGCCACAGGTTTAGGTTTTAGGGTTTAGGGTTTAGGGGTTTAGGGTTTTAGGGGTTTAGGGGTTTAGGGTTTAGGGTTTAGGGTTTAAGGTTTAGGATCTAGAACAACTGGGACTGATTCTGTCATCGAGCGCAATGAGTGAGCGAGGGAGGACAAGTCTTGGGTTCAGTTCCTTAACTTGGCTGACTTATGAACCCCTCCTAAAAGTTAAACTTTTAGCTCCTTTATCATGGTTCATATAGAAAGCCAAAAAGTTAAAGTCCTAAGAGCCAACCAAAAGAACGCCAAGTTAACATGCAGGAGGCTTGGGGTCAGGAGTTTGCGCACCCCTAAACCCAAACCCCTAAAACCCCAAACCCCTAAAACCCACAACCCTAAACCCCAAACACCCTAAACACCCTAAACACCCTAAACGCCCTAAACACCCTAAACACCCTAAAACCCTAAACACCCTAAACGCCCTAAACCCTAAACACCCTAAAATCGTGATCCCTAAACACACCATAATCCTAAACACTAAAACCCTAAAGCCCAAAAGACCTAAAACCCCAAACCCCAAACCCTAAAGCCCTAAAGCCCTAAAAGGCTAAACCCTAAAACCCTAAAATCCTAAACCCTAAAACCCTAAAGCCCCTGAACTCTAAAATCCCAAACCCTAGAACCCTAAAACCCTAAACTCTAGGCTTGCAAGGCCCGAGGATCCGAACTTCGCGGTGCTCCCCGGACTGGCGCGCACCCCCAGACCCCCGGGGAAGGAACCAAAAAGTAGATCCCTTAATGGGGGTTCCAAAAAAGGGATCTATAGGGATTATAGGGGATTTATAGGAGATTTATAGCGGATTTATAGGGAATTTATGGGGGTTTTGGGAGAGTGGGGGTTCTTATAAAGTACCCCTTAGTAGTACAGGGTCCCAAACTACGGCTGATGGACAAAATCCTGCATGACCTTAAATACCTAAACTATGGGATTTATGGTCCTATACGACATTTGGGTCATGCAGAATTTTGTCCATCAACAGTAGGGGATCTACTTTTTGGATCCTTCCGGGGGTCTGGGCCGGCATCCTTGACGCGTACCGGTCTGGCTATTCACTTCACCCTTCGTGGTTTGGGGTTTGCAAGCCTAGAGTTTAGGGCTTTAGGGTTTTTGGGTTTTAAGGTTTCAAGGTTTACGGCTTGGGGTGTTTAGGGTTTTAGCGTTTAGGGGTTTAGCGGTTTTAGGGCATTGGGGCTTAGGTTTTGGGTTTAGGGGACTTTATGGATGCCGAGATCTCATGGTGTCTCTTGATCTGTCTTCTGCAGCTCCATCAAGCACATCTGTCAAGGACACATCATGTCCGCGTGCATGTAGCTTTCAACATGAAAGAAGCCTCTGAAGCTTTCGGAGAAGTAGCGATGATCTCATGTCTGTGCTCCCAGAGACTCCAATATCCCTTATAATTAAGGAATATACCTTAAATCATATTAAGGATCCTACTATAATTTAAGGAAGAGGAATATACCTTACATCATATTAAGGATGATACTATAATTTAAGGAATAGGAATATACCTTAAATCATATTAAGGATCCTACTATAATTTAAGGAATATTCCTAATTAAGGGATATTGGAGTCTCTGCGCTGCCACGCGCCGAGCCAAGGAGGGACCTTGGCGATGGCTTTGCATGCGGCCAAGATGTGCTGGCGATAGCCAGTTTAGGGTTTAGGGTTTAGGGCTTAGGGTTTAGGGTCCAAGTGAAGACCTCCCGGACCCTCGGAAGGATCTGGAAAGTAGAACCCCTAAATTGGGACCCTATACCTTTAAGGGCTCCTAAAAGGGATCTATAGGGCTTTAGGGGGTTTATAAGGGTTTAGGATCTAGAAAGTATATCCCCTAAATTTTGGGAGCCTATACTACTAAGGGCGCTTTATAGGAACCCCCATTAGGGGATCTACTTTTTGGATCCTCCCAGGGGTCTGGGCTGTCCAAGTGAAGACTCCTGCTGTTTGATGCACATCACACGGGTAAGCATCATAATGAAATTGCTGGCAAGAAGAGTGCTAGCAAGCTACAGTCCGTATTACGTAGTCACAGCTTGTGAGTCAAACAGGCGAGCCTTAACGTTAGTAGCCATGTCGTCGTCCTGATTAATTAAGGGAGGCGGGGTACTGATCAGGGGTCTACATTACCCCAAGCATCCCTAAACCGTCAGACCTAAACGGTATCTCTCGCAGCCCTGACGTGACCCCTCAAATCCCTAACCATTTCAAACCTGAATTCTATGTTATGCCCGGATGCTGCTGAGCCAAGCCACCTAAGTGGAAGTCCAGGCGCGTGAAGGTACCTCGATTCAGGGCAGGAAAGCACTACAGGGTTTAGGGCTCATTTTACGGTTTTGGATGCTTTTAGGAATTACCTGAACTCTCACTGGACATTCTGTTGGGGTAGCATAGTACTTATCCTAAAAAATCAACGATAACATATCTAAAAAATACTAGCTTGGAGGGGTCTGTGCAGGGTTAACCAGGCTCCTAAAGTACACTTTCATCAAGCCCTTATATGGTCCATGGTAGCAGGTATTTGGCTCTAGGAAAGCGAACCCCAGAAACTTGGAACGTTGGGTTTAGGATGATTAGTGCAAGGATCCCTTACACACTTTACTAGAACCCTAAACGCTAAATCCGAAACCGGGGATAATGATGTTCCAAGTTTCTGGCTTCCACCGCACAAGGCGTGTTTAGGGTTTAAGGTCTACGGTCTGGCTAGGGTTCTACTCGATGATGGTTTGCTCTAACCCTAGGGTCCATGTGGGGGTTTCCGAAAATAGGGGACCCTACCATAGCACCCTAAATAGTAGGATGCTTAGTATAATGAGCCCAAAACAAGGTACCCCTGGTTATCGGAAACTCCCATGTGCCCAAATAGTTTTTCCGTGGCCGTAAAGTAGTCCCCGTATAGGTACTTTAAGGTCAAAGTATAGACTACCTGTGTACATAGTACTGTACGGGATCAGAGTTTAGGGACAATTATTTAGGGTCCAAGGGTTCATGTAGCCATAAAGTATTTACCTTTACCTCAAAGTACTGCCTCCAGAGGTATTTTAGGCCACGGTATACACGGTATGAGTACATGCGTAGTTCTCTGAATTGGGATCCCTCCCCTAAACCCTAAGACCTAAACCCCTAAACCCCTCAACCCCGAACCCCTAAACCGCAAACCCCTAAACCCTAAACCCCTAAACTCCTAAACCCCTCAACCCTAAACCCCTAAACCCTAAACTCCTAAACCTCTTTTCTGGTGGTCCCCAATATAGCACGGTACCCTTACCAACAAAAAAGGCCCTGAAAGGGACCCTAATCTTGAGAACTCCCCCTTAGCCCTAAACCCCTGAGGGTCAGGATTTAGGGTTTTAGGGTTTAGGGTTTAGGGTTTTAGGTCTTAGGGTTTAGGGAGATCTCTATCCTTAGGCTGGACGCAGCCCCAAGAAGGAAGCGCTCTGTCTTTGTGCTTCGGGTTTTGAGGCGGATCCGGAAAGACCTCTAAACGTCATGAGGCCTTGATAGGTTTCCCTAACGGTCCATGTGCCCATTAAAGAGTGTATACTATGGCCCCAAAGTACCTACCCAGGGACGACTTTGAGGTCAAAGTGTGTACTATTTGGGTACATGGACCCTTAGTGCTTGCTTGGTGTGGACTTGTGATTCCGGGTTTATTATGGCAGGAGATCTTGTCTGGGGCTTCCTTTTTTATGGGATCCTTGAAGAGATCTGGGAACGTACGTAAACATAAGGATCTCCGAACCAGGGATATAAGGAATCTCTGTTGCTGGGTTATCCCCCGCTGCCCTGCTATAAACACGCACACACTCCTTAAAGCTTCGGATATGTTCCCAAACCCTTGGGAGGATCTAGAAACTTTAGGGTTTGGGGCTTAGGGTTCAGATCCCCTTTTATGGGAGTGCCTCCAAGTGCCTCCAAGTAGCCTTCAGTAGTATAGGGTACCAAATTCGGGGTGTCTACTTTCAAGATCCTTCCAAACAAGCGGTTAAGGAAACACTGTCATTCAATCTTGAAGTCATCTAATCAAAGAAGGATATCCCACCAGCAAGTTTACGTGTGGCTGCTTGTTTTGGCTGGTTCCCTAAAACCTAAACCCCTTGCAGGATCCCGAATCCCGAGACGTCTGTCTCGTGGCACACTATCGAACGCAAATTAGGGTTTAGGGTTTAGGGTTTAGGATGACAATAAGGACGATAACATAACAGGATTGCCAATTGTGCCGACCCCTACCTTGTACCCGGAGCTCTAACCCCTGAACCTCAGCCCTGAACTCTAAACCCTAAACCCAAAACGCTCTGAAAAATCTACGCATAGACCCCTGCACGTTCAAAGTGCTCCAGCCGGTGCTTTAATATCGGGGCCTCAGCAAGAATTATGATTTTGGAGTTCAAT